GACTTGCTAACTTCTCTATTTAACAGAATCGAATTTGGTGGTGCAATTAAATTAGGTTTATATGGTTTATTTTTTTTTACGTTGATGATGATCAAAATAAAAATAATGCATGGCCATTAGTTAATAAGGCATGGGAACGAGATCCTAATGCATAGCCATGACTTAGTAAGGTGTGGGAAGGAGATAATTAAGCCTTAATTTTACTAAGTCATGGCCACGACTTAATCATCTCATTCCCACGCCTTTCTAAGTCATGAGTTAGCGTGCCTTGTTCGTGGTCAGAAGGTTAGGAAGGTTCTTCTACCTGACTGAGATATGGTTCTAGAAGAAAGAAATATCTCATGAAACCTACAGCAGGGTCATAGGAGTGACTTCACACATGATGAACTACTGCTTTTATGTGGAACAACATTTTTTTTGCAGTTTACATTGGAAAAATGCATGCAATCATTTGTTAGAGTTATGATAAATATATACATGTTATTACATAGTATATATGATAATAAAACTTTGTTTGTCAGTAGTGATACAGAATCTCTAAGGAAGAAAGACCAACTCTCAGAAGTCCACTATTAATAATATCTCTTTTTATCGCTGTCCAAATAAACCATGTATCTCCATTTTTGGCGATTTTTATTTTTCTATGTCATTTCAACCCACCCGCTATCCTTTACATTGTGTGAAAATTTCATGATGAATGGACCAATAGAAATGCTCTAAAATCACTTGGAATAAAATCTCTTTACATTAACTTCCATTGAAAGGTAAGCGCGTTTTTGTCTTCTCCTGTAAAGTTACTATTTTGGAGATATTTGTTTTTCTTTGGACAGCGCCAATATTTTTTTATACATTTGGCTAAAATATTGACAACATAAAGGTTGCGTCAGTCGCATTACTCAGAACAAAAAGTGATTTTAAAATGGAGACGACATCATCAGCATTTGTAATTGTCTACATATAACTACACTGAAACTAGTGACATTGACTGTATTTTTAGAAACATTCAGATTTTATTAATTTTCAGATTTGAGTACTTTTTTACACCTTTTTACATTTTTTTGCACGTCAACATTTGTACCCTGTTGACAACCACAATGATACAACAGCCCAGTAGCAACAAATTTCAAAAACGTAATGGTAAAAGTTTACTGAGAAGATTTAATGGTTTAAAGAACCTTCACATTAAGTCATTAAAGGAACCTTTATTTGGTAACAATTTTGATTTTAAAACTGTTTTTCAAACTGTTATTTACAAAACATCCATTTTTCCATTCAAGGCTTGCTCAGCAACGTTTATCTTGAACATGAGATGTTACCAGCTTACTGACCCCCACAGCACAAATCTTAATGCCAGTCACATGTACATTTAAAAAAGAGGGTTCTTTAAGGGTTCTTTAGTGATGACAATGGTTCTATTTGGAACCATGAGCTCTACATACAAGAATTCCACATTTAAATGGTAATTTGTATGGTGAAGTGGCTTTTCAGATTGATGGAGAATAGTTCTGTGTAGAACCTTGGCTCTATGTAGCACCAGAAGGGTTCTACTTGACATAGTAACATTAGAAAACTTTTTGGTTCTATATAGAACCAAATACAACACATTCTCCATCAATCTGAATAGCATTTCACCATGCATATAACCATTTAGAGCATGCAAATGGTTCTTTAGCTCTATAAAGAGCTATTCCCTTTACCGAAGAACCCTTGAAGAACCATCTTTTTTGAGAGTGTAGGCTTTAGGCTCGTGCGCCAGTGTTGTACATAACATACTGACAGAATACGTCCGGTTTGTGCCTGAAACTGGCACAGAAGGCTCGTCTTTGCTGAAAGTAGAATCATATGTTTGAATCTTTTTCAAAACATGAAATAAGATCTACTTAAATCAGCCCATATTATTGATCTATTATTGATTGTAATCATGAAAGATGTTTATTAGTAATTACGCAGGTCCTGAACTTGTGTCCTCTTCTAGAATGACCCTTTTCAGATCCATTTGAAAGGGAAATCTTAAATGATCATCGAGATCAGTGTTGAAAAAGCATGCAGAAGTCTTTCTCTTCTCATTTCAAATTTCTTATTAAAGCTGCGCTTTTAAAAAACAGGCAGAACTGAGACGTGAATTTTCTCTGTAAACTCTTAAATAATTGAAGGTGGTCACTAATGATTACAACGTCTTTCTCTCTCTCTCTCTTTCTCACTCTCTCTCTCTTTCAGGGCAAAGTCTAAGAATGGCGGTCGGTGCCTTAGAGAGAAGCTGGATAGGTTGGGACTCAATCTCCCAGCAGGCCGCAGAAAAGCCGCCAACGTCACCCTGCTCACCTCTTTAGTGGAAGGTAAGGCTTTTTCTCTGTAGTTGCATGTAAGGAGAATATTTAAAGGGCCCATGTCTCATATTTTGCTCCGATGTTATTTTCCCTCCAGAGGTCCATTTATGATCTTTGTGTGGTTGGAAGCATCAAAACAGTCGTATTTTATTAAAGAAGCTGTTTTTTTTGTGAAATCTTTGCTACTGTGTCTTTAAAACAGATATATCGCTACTGTCAGAACAAAACCTTGCATCTCCATTTTTGTCGTTTTTCAGTTTTTGACACATTTTGAAAATACCAGATGCTCTTTACATTGTGTGTAAATTTCAAGAAGAATGGACTAAAAGAAACAACCCAAAATGACTTGGAAAAAAGTCTGGTTCCATTAACTTACATTAGAAGTGAAGTATGTTTTTTCCTTCTACTATAAAGTTACCATTTTGGAGATATGCAAATTAGCTCTGGTCTGATAGGCTATCATGTATTCTGTCTTATTTAAAAAAAAAGATCTAGGCTGAGACGCTATCTATAACTTCTCTGTGAATGGGTGGAGCCAACTTGCTGTAGGCTGAATAGGAGGATATATGTAAATGCTCCGTTTTTTGCGACATCACAAGATCAAAACTGTTTTTGCAGCTTAGTTTCCAGATATAGACTATATGAATGGGACTTATATGGTTCGAAATCTAGAACAATATTTACATACACTCTTCAAAAAATGGTTCTCCAAGGTTTCTCTAGTAAAGACAATGATTCTTTTTAGAACCTTGAGTTCTATATATATCTATTTCCATGCTTTTAAAAAAATGGTTCTATATAGCACCACAAATGGCTCTGTTATTGCTGTAATGTCAAGCTTGTTACAATAGCAAAACTCTTTTTGGTGCTATATAGAACCATTTTCGAAAAAACAAACACACTGTCCATCAATCTGAAGAACCGTTTCACCATGCAAGGAACCATTTAAGCATAAAATGATTCTCATGGTTCATAGTTCAGAGTCGAAGCATTGCCGTTACTAAAGAACCCATGAAGAACCATCATTCACTTAAAAAAGGTAAAATTCTGTTTTCTGTGATATGGGCCCTTTAAAGTTAATGTGAATTAAAGGAATCATTACCATATTTGAAACATAGTATCAGAGAGAATTTATGAACCATACACTTAATCAAGAAGATCAGAAGATGTTCTAGATGCAGGACAAAAGTCATTACGTTCAGAAGGAAGATTGCAGGAAAATGACCGTTTTGTTTATGAAGTGGTAAAATATGATGAATCGACTTTAAGAATTGACTTTAAGATTGAATATTTATATTCACCATCTAAAACATATAGTGCATCTGCATTATGCATTGAGTAATATGAGAAAAATGTTCAGATAATAAATACAAACGTTGGTCAGATGTTATAATGTGACAAAGACAAGCCATTTCTTTATGAACACAACATTAGAGAATATTTTACTGACATGCATGCAGAAAGCTTTTTTTCAGAACTGAAATAACTGTTCAATCTCTGATGCTGCTGATGTAAGAGTGATGTTTTAGTTGTAAATTTGTTAATAGGATCCATCTTTATTTCACACACGTCTTGCGTTTTTATTATTGCTTATTAGCAGGCATTGCCAGAGTTGCATGGACAATGACAGAGATAAGAGGAATGAGAGTTTCTGAATCTGTGAACAAGTGTGTATGAGTTATTAAGTGCTGTTGTTAACTAGGCTGATATGTTACGTTGGCTGGTGTGTTTAGGATTTTATGACAGATTATCACATGGAGTTCGTCTAAACACAATTTCACAGTTTTGTTGTTTAAAATGTCCAATTCTGAATTAAGTAAGCTTTCCTATTGTGATGCTCTTCAATAAAGTCATGCCGCTAAAGGTGTTTACAGTTTTCGCTTCAAGTACTCAATTTTAAAGAGCTTCATCCATTTGAAGTATAGAAGTAAAGTATGTACAAGTATATATATATATAGCACTGCTGTCAGTTTCAAATTATGTCAGTTTTTGACATGATTTCAAAATGCCTGTTGCCCTTTACATTGTGTGTTAATTTCATGATGAATGATGGACCAAAAGAAATTACTTGGAAAAAAGTCCACTTCCATTGACTTACATTGGAAGTAATGTACGTTTTTTCTTTCTCCTGTAAATTTACCATTTTGGAGATACAAGGTTTTGTTACGACAGCAGCGATATATATGCGGTCACTGTCAGTTTTTTTCTTACTGAATTTGAAAATATCGGGCTTTAAATTGTGTCAAAATTTCATAATGAGCAGATGAATAGAAATGGTCCAAACTTGCTTAGAAAAACAAAACAATATTAACTTATATTCTAAGTTAATAATGTTTTTGTTCCTCCTGTAAAGTTTCCCTTAAGGAGAAACAAAGTTTTGCTCCAGCAGCAACAATATATATGATGCATATACACAATGTGTATAAAAGTACAAATATACCAAAAACATACAAAATTCTGTATGCATTAAAATGACATTTCATTGCATCATTGTGAAACTATGAGAACATCATATTCTTTTCATGAATTCAGAACAATAATTTAAAAAAATGAATGATAATCAACTCCCTCTCTTCCCTCCTTTCACTGTCCTCTGTCCAGGCGAGGCACTGCACCTGGCTCGGGACTTTGGCTACACATGTGAGACGGAGTTTCCCACTAAAGCAGTGGGAGAACACCTGGCACGGCAGCACACAGAACCCAAGGAACAGAATGCCCGCAAGAAAATGGTGCTGGCCACCAAGTAAGTCCATGACTATGCATATCATAGAGTGCAGAGGTCATTTAAAGCTTAATATGTATGTTGCAGTTAAGAATGCTACTGTAAATCAAGACACATGCTGAAGAAGGTGCTTCAGCCAAAAGAAGAACATAGTATATCGTCAAAGTGAAGAACATCAATCTGATAGCTATTATCTAAATAGAAAACCTACAGTCAATTATAAACATTATACTACAGTGTTGTTTAAAATTTCTTCAGCCCACACATGATTTTGATGCATATTTTTATTTCTTCATTGATACGGCTTGTTCCACTGATGTTCACTTCTTCTGACTGCAGAACATAGAAAGACCTGAATACATAATATAATAAACAATTGCAAGTTATTACAATTTCCAAAAGAAGCATCTGAACAATACAAATCAATTTATGATCATACTGGAAATTTGAAATCTCTTTTCTACAGTTGTTTAAATCTGAAAACAAAATTACTTACACAGTTTGGCTACAGAAGCTGATTTTCCTACTGTACATTTTTACATCTTTGGTCATAAAGGTTGGGTTTTTTTTTTTGTAAATTTGACATATTGTAATGATTTTACATATTTTAATGAAAATGTTCCATTCTCTATTTAAAATCAGCCAGCATCTCAAAAATCTACATTTTATTTGTGATCTTACCATAAAATGCTGTATGTTGCTGCTGCCAGCACAAAATTTTGTATCTCCAAAATGGTAACTTTACAGGAGAAGGAAAAACATACTTTACTTTTAATGTAAGTCAATGGAACTAGATGTTTTCCAAGTAATTTTGGACCATTTGTCAGGAAATTTACACATTATACAAACAATGGGCATTTTCAAATTATGTCAAAAACTGAAAAATAACAAAAAATTAGATACAAGCTTTTTGTTCTGACAGCGGCAACATGCATTTCTGTGGGAAGCTAATCTGTACCTGCCTCCATTTCTTTTATTTCCTCTTTCTAACACACACACACACACACACACACACACACACACACACACACACACAAATAAACAATACACATGCACATACACACATATGAACATGCATGACCACAATTTTGCAATTTTCCTTGTTTTTTTCCCGCATCCTACATTTGATAACATTACAGACATGAAACATAAATATAAAAATTTCAAATGTTGACTGGATAGGCAGTGGCATGAAGAGACCTGACACAAAATCTGAGCTAATTCTGTCAATCCAAAAAAATTCTGTGACCAGGTCACAAATTGTACTTTTTTAAGTCTTTGGGCATAAATAGGCTAAAACGCCTTTCTCTACAATGTTGTTCTTTAGCCACATCTCCATGTGATTTGAAGTATGACAGGTTTTAAGCTATGATTTTCATATCTATGATCTGTTTCTCTGTGTGCAGGCAGATCTGTAAGGAGTTCCAGGATTTGTTAAGTCAGGATCGTTCTCCACTGGGTTCCTCGAGGCCAACGCCAATACTGGACTTAGACATTCAGAGACATCTAACACACTTCAGGTAAAATGCACACTTCCAATTCCGATTCTCAACACTTTTTCTCATTGTCTGCCTCCGTCCACCGATGCTCTCTTTGTCAAATATTTCAGTATAATTTGAATACTCATATATATAATACTCATTGTCCTGCTCATCATACTAGAAAATTACTATTAAGTAAACAAATATTGTCTTAAAACAATTTGTCATTTCCTGAGAACAAAATCTTGCAAATTTGACTATAATGTGGGTGGCAAATGACAGTTAGTATGGAACATCAAGGCATGAGTCTAGTACAAGCCTAGTACATGTGAAACGGAGTTTCCCATGACAATGGTGGGAGAACACCTGGCGTGGCAGCAGAATGCTTACAAGAAAGTAGTGCTGGCCACTGATGCTAAGCTTATCACTCGTGTCGCTAATGTCCGCTACTGAGGGGAGCTCAGTACCAGATAAATAACTGGCTCATCACTTTGATGCCAGTCTGCTCAGGTCTTTGTTTTAAAATGTAAAACAGATACTTAATTTCTGTAGGGGACAGATTTAATAGAAATCTATTACACTGAACTTCAAGTTCATTTGCATTTAATAGGTATTTAGTTGAATGTTACTTAAAGATATACCGAGCATCTGCAAAGCATCTACAGTGGACCATCCAAATAAAGTGTTACCAGTTTCTGTATTTTGCATATTTACATTCTGTTACATCTCAATCCTACATATCATCACTGTGCAAAAAAACAAAAAAACTTGTATACTATTTTCTGATTTTTCTACATCATTCAAACGAGACAGCTGTCCTCTGCAATGTGTAAAAATTTCATGATGAATGGATCAGCAGAAATGCTCCAAAAAGTACTTTGATTATAGTCTTTTTACACTGACTTGCACTGAAAGTTAAAAAGGTTCTCCTGTAGAGTTTTAAAGTTATTATTTAGGAGATAAAGTTACTATTTTTTTTTCGACAGTGATGCTATTCAGTGCTCACATTGTGAGGAATAGTCTAATTAAGGCACATTCTGATGTTCTTTTTTCATGTTTTTGCTTACAGTCTCATCACGCATGGTTTTGGCACGCCAGCGATCTGTGCAGCCCTAAGCACCTTTCAGACAATTCTGAGCGAAATGCTAAACTACCTGGAGAAACATTCGGCCAACAAAAGCACGGGAACGCCCGACGGCAGCCAGATCAACTCCAGCTCTGAAAAAACACCGCTACGCAAAACTGCCGAAACGCCCACAAAAGATGGCAAAATGGAGAAAACTGAATGACTGCGTCCTTCTTAGCTAAGGCGGATCACTGCTGAATCACTTCCTGATCTGAGCCCTGATGGGCGGGCCTTGTTCAGGGCGTGGCTGGTATGGGGTGGGCTTTGTTCTTTTTCTGTGTTTAAACCTTTACTGTTAATTTATTTTCTGACATCATGTCCTCTTTCCAGTGTCTGTTTGAACGTAGAAACGAACAATGCCATTCTCTTAATCTTTCCAGTCCACCACACGCGATGTATTTCCACCATTTTGTAAGTTATCAAAAAAGATATTTTGTTTAAAGTTTGTCTTTACTTCTAATAGTTGAAATAATTATAATCTTTTATCGAAAGATACACATTCCATTTTCGGCAAGGCCTAATTTTAAGGTCGCATCGGAACTGTAAATGAATTCTGGTGACTCTCTTTGTTGCCATTGGTAAACTGTATATTGTGCATGTTAAAGTTTGTACACTGCTCCAACCTGACGTTCCTCACTGAAGCTTCAGAACACGACATCTCGACCGCATTTGTAAAGAAGTTATATATAAATATATAAATGACGACTTTTCTTGTAGGTTTTGAACTACATATATGAAATATCCTTACATGCAAACTACCCGTGTTCAATAAAGCATATTGCTCAAAGTCTTATATTAAATCAGTGTGTTGCTCTGGAACTTTTGGATATTTGAATTTTTGCTTTCACTCAACTACAAGATGAATAGAATCTGCATGTAATGACTTTTATATTTAAAAGTCGGAAGAAAACCTCGTATCTCCATTTTTGTTTTTCAGTTTTTGGCATATTTTGAAAATGCCTGTTGCCCTTTACATTGTTTGTAAATTTCATGATGAAAGGACCAAAAGAAATGGCCCAAAATTACTTGGAAAAAAGTCTGGGTCCATTGACTTACATTAAAAGTAAAATATGTTATTTCCTTCTCCTGTAAAGTTATCATTTTGGAGATAGAAGGTTTAGGAGATGCTTTGAGGTTTACATGATATATAAAATATTCCTAGTTTATAGCATGTTTAGGCATATTTTAAACAAATATACTACTGATAATTAACATTAACCTAATAATACACCTAGTTTTGTTCTTATAATGTAAATTCTTCAAATCATACTTTACATACACCAAGTACATTTGGGTTTTATTATGGCTTAAAAAGCACCTAGTACTGTGCAAAAGTCAGAGATCCACCATGTTTTTTATATAATTTCAATTAAAATGTTTATTAAAAACAAGTTATTCAGTTTTCAGCAGAAAACATATGTAAACAGAAAAGCTTTACATGCAGCACTGCTGTGTCTGATCCACTCGCACCAGCACAACACACTCTAACACACCACCACCACGTCAGTGTCACTGCAGTGCTGAGAATGATCCACCACCCAAATAATTCTTGCTCTGTGGTGGTCCTGTGAGGGTCCTGAACATTGAAGAACAGGGTAACACAGTATGCAGAGAAACAGATGGACTACAGTCTGTAACTGTAGAACTACAAAGTGCTCCTATATGGTCAGTGGAGCTGATAAAATGGACAGTGAGTGTAGAAACAAGGAGGTGGCTGTAATGTTATGGCTGATCGGTGTATTTCTGTAAAGAATCATCCATGGAAAGGTTCTTAAGGGAACCAACAATGCTTCTTCTGTGACATCACTCCAAAGACCCACATTTGGCACCTTTATTTTTAAGAGTGTGGATGCTCGGTCTAAAATAGTCTGGCTGAAGCACATCTTTTTCTGTAGGGTTCAGATAACGGCAGTAACACACCTGTCACCTGTCTGCTCACCTGTCATCCTGCTCACCCCTCACTCACCCTGCTCTTACCTCACTGTGTTTCGCTCTTACCTCACTGACAGGATTTACGCTCCTGTCATGGTGACTGGGTTTAATGCTCTTTCTCTTTACAATTCAAATGTACTCACTGGGTTTACTGACCACAATTACAATCCTGGACTCCTGTCATGGCAAACTGGCCCAAAATAGGCTTCTGATATACTGTTATGGTTCATATTCATGTTTATGAATTCAGTCTTAAAAACAAAGCTGTTGAAAAAGTGTCGATCCTCTGCAGCAGTATCACTTGTGTTTCCCTAAAGGGCCATTCATGGTAATTTAAAGAACCATTTTGACTTGTAAGGACCTTTTTACACTTTCAATAAACTGAGCATAGTGTAAAGATTGGTTGGTTATAATATAAAGATGTAAAGATTGGCATGGTTGTGCTTTATTAACCGTTAGCTGGGAAATTTGACAAAACATTGACCATGGCTATGTCATAAACGTCAGACACAACAATAAAAAGGATACAGTAAAAGCTTGAATAAAGAAAATACTATTAATACTTTAGGATATAAATATATCATGAAGTATAAATCACTATCTGCTATGCATTCTAGCATCATGAATTTTAAGCTGTACTTTTCTTTTTATACTTGGCTTTTTTGATGCAGTGCAGGCTAGCATTGCTTAGAGTTTTAGTACTTAGCCAAAATTATTTTTTACATAGCTTGTTTGAAACGTATACAGCTTTCTGGAACTTAGTCGTGTTATTTCTTAATTATGTACACAAGGAAAAAAAAACTTTACAAAAAAGATTTACAAAACATGAAGCCTTTTATTTCAAAACTTTACTGTCTTGAAATAAAGGTGTGACTCTTTTCTTGACAATGTTTTGGTGTTTACAATTATACGTTACTGATCAGGTTTACTGGCAAACTTTACAGAACTACTTTACAGACAGGGTTTACTAACAAATTTACAGAGCTACTCTACAGATAGTGTTTACTGATGAAACTTATGGAACTACTTAAGTCTTTGGGTTTACTAACAAACTTTACAAAACTACTTTGCTGATTCACTGAGAGCCTTTACAGAACTGTTTTACTGATGAGGTTTACTGACAAACCTCACATTTTATGGAACTACTTTACTGTCAGGGTTTACTGACAGTCTTTACAGAACTACTCTACTGATAGTTGTTATTAATGAACTTCAAAGAATTACTTTACTGATCAGATTTTCTGACTAATTTTACTGAACTACTTCACTGATACATCTTACTGACAAACTTTACATAACAACTTTACTGATCACTTTACTGACAAACTTTACAGAACTACTTTACTGACAAACTTTACAGAGCTATTTTATATACGTATGAGGACAAACTTTCTGGCACTACTAACTAATGGTTTACTGAAAAAACTTTACAGACGTACCTTACTAATTGGACCTACTGACAAATTTTACAGCTTTTCTTGCAGGCCTTATTGACAACATTTTAGAAACTTTATGGAACTACTTTACAGTTGGGGTTTACTGGCAATCTTTACAGAACTACTCTACCAATAATCTTTTTTAAAAACTTTGAAGAATTTCTGATTGCTTTACTGACCAACTTTACAGACATTTTTTGCTCATAGCATTTGCTGAGAAACTTTACAGAACTACTTTACTTGATCAAGTTACAGCCGAAGTTTGTAAGACTCCTTTACCAATAGAGTTTACAGACAAACTTTACCAAACTTCTTTTGTAGGCTTTCTTGACAAACTTTATGAAGTTACTAAAAGGGTTTTATTCACAAATTTTAAGGAACTACTTTACTAATAGTGTTTTTGACAAAATGTATGGAACTATTTTACTGATTGGGTTTACTGACAAACTTTACAGAACTAGCTTGGACCACCACATAGAATTTAAGCTCTTCAGAAGAAAGTAAACAATCGTTCTTTGCCAATCACTGCAGATTTTTCTTTAGCTTACTAATTCTTGAAGTTAAATAATCGCAGTGCTTTCATTGGTGATGATAATGATGATGCGCTTATCACTTTAAATTATCTACTCACTTTTGCAACACAGAAGATCCCAGTCAATACATCTGAAACAGAGAATGCTGACGGGTCTGTCCGCAGATGAACATAATCCATATTAGATGAAAGTAATGCATATTAGAAATGCAGAGATTCAAATATGCCGTCAACTTAGGCCACTTCTTACTTGAGCTAATTCAAAGTCCAAGAAAACTCAGCTCATATTGACCTACATGTCTCGGGTAAAACCCAAAGAATATATAAGTAATAACACACAAAATCCATAAGTGTATTGATCAGTGTGCGGGCTACTTGTCTTGATGTAGCTATACATACATAAACCCAAATAAATTATGTATTGCGTCAATATTAAATGCATGATTGACTCATAATGTCTGAGACTGTTAATTACTAACGTGATATGAAATGCTAGATGGACAAAAAGGCCAGGAGTATATCATTAGGGGATAGTAAGCTTCCCCATACAATGTTTAAGCGCTAACTGGTTAGCATCTGTGAAGTGGTACACAAGATAGCTAACCAAACATCATTTTCCATGAAAGTCTGTTCTAGATTCTCCATGTAGACCCTTCTCCTTAGTCTATCTAATAGGCTTGACAACATATCACAGTTTGCATAGTGCTTGATTAAGTTGGGAAGACAACAATGCTTATATTTTACAAGGTTTTCATAAATTTGCTCCAAATTTTAGATAAAAAAGTACAATAACAATAATAGAAGGCAGGGAGAGAAACTGAGCTTTGGTAGGAGCTCAGTTTAATAAAGCACAGTGAAGTATTCTCATGTTACTCAAGCGCCATCTGCTGGCCAAACTGGGTACTGACACAAAAAGTAGCACTGCTTCCAGTAAGTTCTCCTTTTCACTCCACGTTTTAGTGTTTTCTCTGCTCTAAAAACTTCATATTGAGAAGATAAGTTACATAAAATACAATAAAGTGCGCAGAAATTTACTACAGGAGCAAAACTGGGAAGAAATATTGGAGTAGAGATGTATTTTGGATATTTTTGGTAACGTAACAACAAAGAGTGACAGTATATATATATATATATATATATATATATATATATATATATATATATATATATATATGTTGGAACAAAACCTCATATCTCCAAAATGGTAACTTTACAATAGAATCAGACATGTTTCCAATCCATTTTGGGTTGTTTCTTTTGGTCCATTCATCATGAAATGTACACACTATGTAAAGGACAACATG